TATCTATCTATCTATCTATCTATCTATCTATCTATCTATCTATCTATATCTCTCTATCTATCTATATCTCTCTATCTATCTATCTCTCTATCTATCTATCTCTCTATCTCTCTATCTATCTCTCTATCTCTCTATCTATCTCTCTATCTATCTATCTCTCTATATCTCTATCTCTCTATCTATCTCTCTATATCTCTATCTATCTCTCTATCTCTCTATCTATATCTCTACACATATCTACACATATCTACCTCTCTATCTCTCTATCTATATCTCTACACATATCTACACATATCTACATCTATATATCTATCTATATATATATATATCTACATATATCCACCGTAAACTGATTTTGAACGTTTTGTTTTGATGCAGAATGGTTGAACACGATGCCCGGTGCCCCAGCAGAGCCCCCATCGCATCAAAAAAGAACAGCTAAGCCTCTGTACAACATTTTCACCTCCAGCCCCATCAGCACCTGCTTCAAGAAGCCAATCTTTAAAGAAAAAGCAGCCAGTAATTCCAGCCAGCACTTGGAAACATCTAATCACTCGGAGCACCAGGATAAACAGCAGATCTCCACTCCACAAACAAAGACTGAAGCAGCTTGTCTTAAACAAGGGGCCGGAGACCGGTCCATTGAAATCAAAGTGGAACCACACAGGCTGGCTCTGGAGCCTTCTACAGAAACAACCCCTCCCAGCTGTGAGAGTGAACTGCCGTCGAAAGACAATCCTGACAAAGATGAAGAGGAGGAGGAGGAGGAGGGTGAGGAGGACCAATCTGTCTTCTTTACTCCAGAACTTTTCGGGGGTGAAGACGAGGAAGGCACCCCACAGAAAGAGACAAAGACCAAGTCACCTCCCAGGATGCTTTCGGGGGCAGAGAGCCCTACTCTGCTGTCAGAAGAACGTTTTGGCTCTGAGCAGGCCCGAGGGCAAGGGCCAGCCTCTGCTTCTGATGGACAGAGTGCTATTTCAGTCAGAGAGGAGAGCATAGAGCTGACACAGAAACAGCAAGAAGAAGTCATAATACAGAAGCAGGGTGAGGAGGGAGAGCAGAGTGAGAACCAGAGCAGGCAGACAGGCAGTAGGCTTCGCAGGTTGTCCAGGTCCAGAAAGCAAGCTCCCTCTACTCCAACAGGTAACTAACAACCTGGACATAAGAAAGATTGTCTGTCTGTATATAATAATGTTTTATATGCATATTACATGTCAATGCACATTCGCTAATCAGCGGATTGATATTAAACAGATTGCAGTGCAGTGTAGCATATTCGGTTCAACCATTGCTGCAGTTTCACAGAATGTCCTGAACACTACGTTGTAGAGTATCTGCATGCGTTAGAGCTGCCTGAGGCTACTAGCCCACACACAGCATACATTAGATGATGAGGCTTCAGCCCTCAGATCAGCTTCTAATGGAGTGTGACAACACATCTTATTAAGGCCATGAAGGTGGGTTCTCAGTTAAAAAACGCATTACTAACCAACAGCATTGGAATTGCAGCGCTGATTGAATGTGCCTTTTAACAAATCATTAAAATACAAAATCACGAAGTCATTTGTTTTCCTATGAAGTAGGTAATCATGTATTTCTGTTTTGATGTTTGTAGATAATGGATAACCAACGTGCTTTAGACATGCCTGATTAAACCAAAGGAAGAGACCGTTATGTATAAATGATGTGTGCCGTAAGCTCAAATGGTGTGGATACACATTAGTTTTACATTCAATAAGCATTCATATACATTCTGTTAATTCGCAATAAAATTAAATGTTAGTGTTTCATTGATTGATTTATTTATTTATTTTTTTGATTTGTTCTCATCCTTTTTCCTTTTCATTCTGATATATAATTCTACCTGATGCATTAACATGAAAGAGGTACGTTACTGGTTGAGATCTTTAGGAGTTAAATCTAGCAACATATTTTATAAAGTGACCATCTGTTTTATATGTATTCTTGATCTGAATAATAACTACTTTGACCACCTCTCAATTAGACTTTGCTACACAGTAAACACAAAATAGGATGTTATATTTTAGCATTTTGTCCCTTATTAATATCGAGGGTAGAATGCTAGAAACACCTCAGTATATACAACACAATTCAAAATGAGCATGAAGTTGAACCAACCCCTGACTAAAGAAAAGCTAAACATTAGGACCTGAATGGTTTGTTGCAGGACTGTTGTATTAGTTTGCATTAGTTTTAGCCAGGATGACTTAATACACCAGCAACGGAGTGTATAGCTTCACATAGAAAAACTACTTCCAGCATATGTTAAAATATGTTCACAAATGAAATGAATTGTATATAATTAATCCAAACACAGTGATATTCATTTCCAGTGTAGTTTCCATATTTGTAGTCCTGCAGAATTCACTTATAATATTCGTGGAGGAAAACAGTGTAATCAACAATTTAATGGCCATATTTGATTGTTTGAATCTGAGGAGCAGAGTTCCTTTAATTGAGCCAATGCTAAATGCAGAATCATCAAACAGGCTATGTGGAAGGGAGACAAGAAATAAGATTAAACATGATTACACTGATGTGATTTGTCTCATTACTGCACAAACTTCACCAATGTGTGATTTGCGCAGCTAAGCAGAGTGGACAAGTGTTCCATTAAAGCCTTTCTTTGCTCATCAACTGCCTCCCCAAGACCCTTGTACATGTAATCGTACATGGCCACTCGTTAGCATCATCAAAACACAGCGTGGAGAGGCCAGCGACTGTTGTTAAAAGCACTTATTAGGGAGCCCACATTACTGAAAGCCCCAGTAATGACTCTCATTACTCTGTTTTCCCCCATTACTCTAATTCAGCTTCTGCCCTCAACCCCAAATCATTAAAGCTACACTAAGGCAACATTTTGAGTCCAAAAAAACCAAAACGGGACAAATCACAAAATGCAACAGCAATAGCGCTCCGTCCATATAGAACTCCGAATGGTCAACGCTCCGTCTACACAAAGTGACTAATCAAACATTTAGAGGGAAATGCAAATCTTCCCTTTTTTCAGGCAAGTGCTTGTTTGAAAAAGGTGGACTCACGACTAGTGTAATTGAACGGTGACCTTGTTAGTTAACGAGGGTGGTAATTCCCAACCAGGGGTATGTGTACACCAGAGGGAGGGGGGGTAACACTTTAGTCATAAAAAACTAATCAATGGTAAATTGATAGTTAATTAAACTTCTGTTAATAGTTATTTTACTGTTGACAAACTGAAAAAATGAATAATGTTTACTTATTAGTAATGCTATAATTTACAAGGTATTTTGTCATTTGTTTGTGTAATATGAAATAATTAACACTTGAAGTAACACTTGACCCACCTGCTACAATTGTGTGTATGTGAGAAGTAGTTAGCAGGCGAGCATAGACGTAATGAAATGATTGAAGAACAAAAAGTGCTAGTGCTAAATAAATATACTACTTTAAATATGGTTGACACGTCCAGCTCCGGCCACTTACACACAAGTGTAGGTAGTATGGAGGCAAACTGAGCGAAAAGACCTAGAGACCTAGCTTGAATATTAATTCCAGGATCACTAGTTCTTGTATGAAATAATATCCACCTTTCCATAATCAATAGTGTAACATAACATCCAATTTAAATTCCATTTAGCTGTTTATAGTTACCAGTCTGTGATGCTGCCTAAAGCAGGTTTAAAGAAAAAACTGCTGGAATCACTTTTGGAACAACATCCCTGTTGATTTCAGCTCAGGGAAACATGCCAGATGTATCTATTTGCTAAAAAGGTTACTTCATGTCAATTGACAGGTGGAGGCTGTGGAGCCAAGAGAGCAGGGAAAGTCAGCCTTCAGCAGATTGAGACCAGGAGCAGCCAGAGGAGGACCAGGCCAGATCATGAGTTAAAGGTGGTGATGGTGGGTTTGAATAGCAGACCATCCAGAGACAGACTCATAAGAGAATACAGTTCAAAAAAAGACACAGTTCAAGAGAATGTTTATCAGGCACATTTCTTCAAACCAAGTGTGATTGACAGAGGGACTGAGTCAGGAAGGTGCCCTGTGGGTGTGAGGGAACACAAAGCTCTTAAAACACCTGCTAGTTCCACGAGGACTGAGACAGACGATGTGACTCCAAAACAAGGCGGCATAGGGGGCCTGCAAGAAGCTGGAGCAGCACGATGTAGTCCTACGAGTCCAGCAGCGGATGGTCCAGGAACTCAACACACCACACCAAAAGGTAAAAGAATCTATATAGAATGTAAAATCTTTGGTTGTACAGAACAATCAATGCATGTACATGCCAATGTTGGTCAGCACACTGGAGAAGGTAGAACACAAATAGTTTACATGACATTACAAAAAGGGAGCAATTTGGGTTTACATTATGCAAGGCAGATCAAATAAGAGCTTAGAAAACAGAATTACATCTTGATTTAAAGTGCTGAATCCATTTTTCTGAACGACAACTAATTGATCAGCCAGGAACACTCAGTGCTGCAGACCTTTGCCCGGAAAGGTTGTCAAGTTAGCAAAAATAGTGATGTTTCATTTCACTATCTTTATTTCAATAGCTCTTACTTTATATCCACACACAGTACATGACAGCACTACCAAAACACAGCTGTGAGCAAATTAAACAAGGGACAAAATTAGGGGATTGACTAAAGGAACCTAAACTCACAGTGGAGTGTGCACCTGTACTGTATTTGTTAATGTTCAGCAGTGGAACTGATGTGGAACTGGAAAGAATACAAGCTCACAATGGCTGCTGCCCTAAAGACTCTGATTACAGTATATCGTGTCATATAATAATGTCTTTTTTAAATGATTAATAAATTCAATTATTAGTTTTGTATGTTTGGATTAATAATATTTTTTTTAAACATAGGTTAACCCATGACATGCTTAGGTTCATACTGTAACGTATTGAAATATTCCCTTAAATGCTGTCCAAAGTTTTTGACAATATATATTTTTTATATCATGCTGCAATGGTGTTGTTTCTAGGTAGCCACTTTATTTATGTGAAATTCAACTTAACATACGTTTTTTTCCAACCAACCTATTAAAGTACGGAGATCTTGCGGACAGAAAAGCAGGAGATTTAACAAAGTAAGTGTCACATTTTTCCAGCAAATCACAGGGAAAGCATCAACTGTTTCTCCTTATCAGTGTTCAAATGTACTGTGCTTTTCTATTTCATTATTTCTTTGTATTGCAATATTTCAGATTTTATTAAACGTCATAGCAACATATGTTGACACTGATCAGTGCTGCCGTACACATGCGGTAATGGATTTTGCACTTAGTCTGTTTTCGCTGTGTGTTGCACACAGAAGCACATAAAGAAAACAGTGCATGGTAATGAGTCATATCACCACAGTCTGTGTGAACTCAGTGTGCATATCAAAGGGTGTGACAGACAAAAATCTTTCAAATGTCAACATACCCACTAAAAGCAAAAACGGTGTACGTAATGACAAAAGAGTAGCTCTGAAATAGAAATAAAGTTAAGCACTTAGACAATAGTAGCATTTAGAAACACTTTTCCACTCATGAATCTACCTGAATCCGGAGGGAAGATTGTTATCTGTTGTGGTGAGATCATGTGATCTGTCCGTCTGTCCACGGCTGATCTCACATACTACTGGACCCATCAGCTTATTAATGACGGTGGTCTCGTGGTTGTGGTGATTCACACTGTTTGAAGAACGTATTCTGTTTTATGTCGTCATTGACTGCTGACTCCTCACAAGTGATCAAGAAGAGCAAAAGGCCTTTCCAGCAGTCAGCTAGAAGAAAAACAAGCCTGACCTTGTCTGCTGCAGGCCACATTTTGGCCTTTTGTCATGGCTCAAAAACTGATTGACTCTACTGAGGGCACCTTTGGAATTGAAAATGTTTTCAGTGACTCCTCTGAGATGTTTCTGAAATGCTGCACATAATAAATACACATTTAAAAAAATCTTGATGTGAGCAGATTCTTTTGTTCTACTTCCACAGATAGTGAAAGAGCACAAGCCATGCTCTCTGGGCCTCTACTGTTCTCTGTGTGAGAAGGAACTACTTCCTGTGGCACATGGTAATTTCTGAGAAATCTCTGTTGTGTTTCCATTTATGACTAAATAATATGAGTCAAAGTGAATGCGTTTCATTTTGACATAGATTTCATTGTCACTGTCATGACTTCCTTTTTCAGGTTCACTGCGAAGTGCTTTTTGTGAATTTGAACATCTGGCTTTTCTGAGAAAAATATTTAGTTCTGCAACAACGACCCGCCGCTGCCAGTGTGCACCACATCAGCCATCACTTTTAGACGACTCCGGCTCACTGCTGGTAGTGCAAAGTCTCACAGCAATGAAGGCCCTGAGGACTGCTCTGCAACCCTACTGTGATAGCAGTTTAACTGGTGGGTTGATCAGACTAGAACAGTATTAAAGAAGTGATAGTGACACATTTTTAAGACAAGAAAAATGACTCATTCATGTTACATCAAGAAAGGGAAATGCCATCGCACCCACAACTGAGCATTCAAAATGAATACTAATTAGAAATGATAATTACATCCGAGGGTCCGAGGACAGAGGATGTCGTATGCTGTACAGATTGTAAAGCCCTCTGAGGCAAATTAGTGATATTGGGCTATACAAACAAAATTTAATTACATTTTTAGAAGAAATTACTAAATTATGATAACTGTAGGTAATTAGAAATGAATTTGGGAAGATGAATACACGAGAGCTTTTCCCATCCCTGTTGCTTAAAACCGACTTTAACATTCATATGAACATGTTAACCTTTAATCCTTTTATGGCACATTTTCCCCCTCTGAAGTCGGTGAGGTTACATGCTTTCCCACTGCTTTTCATTCATGCAGCATATAACGCCATCTGGAATCCCGAGGAAGGCTCTGTTACCAGACTTCTGCAGTGCAGCGGCTGTTTGTCTCAAAGCCCCTTTCTGTCTGCAGCATTAATTGCAGCAGAGATCCAGTGGCCTCGAGACATGGCTCAAGATCAGGTAAACTTTATGAGGGTGAATAAATGTCCACATTTACCAAACACTGTGTCATTTGGCAGGAACCACAATCCAAATGATTAACATTTTTATACATACATATATATACATATATATATATATATACATATATATATATATATATACATATATATATATATATATATACATATATATATATATATATACATATAT